TTACAAATAAGTTAATGTGTATGATTTGCCAATTTTGCTAAATAGTGATTTTCCAAGCGTAGCTGAGAGGTGGCACAAGGTTGAAAGTATGGGGCACCCAGTGAGGATCGAACTCTCTACTCAGTTGTAATTGTTCTAGCAAGACAAGCTTGCTAACCATTACACCACATAGAGGTGCCCCCAATTTTGCAAAATATACGCCAAAGCTTAAAGAATAATTAGTGTGTGTGTGTGTGTAAGTATACATATTATTCCTCACTGATAGCACAACTCAGAGTTTCATGCACAATGCAATCTTCAGGTGCTGAGTATAGACTGGCCACTGGCCATTATGTAATTCAAATTTTAAAAAAAAGTATATCTGGTTATTACAATGTTGGTGCAGTGATATATTTTACGGGAATTATTTTTTTTAATTTTAAAAATTATATTTGGCATTTAAAATAAACTGAATTTATACATACACACACATATATATGCTAGATAGATAAGAAAAAGTTTTTAAATTTATTTTAGAGTTGTGAATATTCTTTTTTTTATTTTTATATTAAAAAGGGAGATTACTTGTTCTTTTTTTTAATGAAAACAAACCATAATTAACATTAAAAATAAACCGTAATTGATATTAAAAACTAATCTAGATCAACGTATTTAAGCAGATATTTTTATGCCTACATGTAACTATCGTGTGTGTGTGAAAATGAGCACACTAACACAAAGCTAGACAAAATGCATCATTATTTGAGAAGTGATTCATCATCATTTGGAATTCTGATTTTTTAAAAAATTTTTTTTACTGGCAAACATACGCACATTTTGTTTTCTCATTGTACCCCTAACACACACTTCTTACACATGATTGTTAATACATTCAATATACATATGCACATTTTTCTTTTTAAAATATTTAATCTAGGCCAATTTGTCTTTATAAATTATCTTAATATTCAGCCTCAAACCTTTTTTTTTTTTTTTTAAAGAAAATCAATAAACGGTTTAAAGAAGTGGAGAGGACACAAATTAAGAATAATTAATCAATTGTTTATCAAGTAGTGTACCAGAGAAACTTCAAGGCTATGAATCAACTCTTGGGAATTCAACTTAGCATTTTGCAAGTTCTCAGTTAAGAAAAATGAAAACAACCAATCGGTTACAATCGAGAGCATGCGTATAATTACTTGGGGTAGCCATCAGTTGATCTTTATAAAGCAAAACACTTATAACTCTAAAAAGATATTTCAAAAAGGTTTTAAAAATAAATCCATTAAATAATATTCTGATGATATGGTGGTGATAAGAAATTTTAAATGTAGAAAATTTTCTCTTGAGTTTTTATATAAGAAAAAGAAAGGATTTTAAAAACTTTTTAAAATTTATTTCACAGAGCAACTATGAGAAAGACAGAATTTCAGCTGCCTTAATCATTCATTAACAAATGTGGCTTGTAGCAGTGTACACTACATATTGAATAGACATGCTTGTAGCATATTATTACACACATTTAATAATAATAATAATAGTAGTAGTAGTAGTAATTGTCATCATCATCATTCAACATTGCATTTAGTGCACTGTTAGAAATAAATTGGGAATCTATCATTTTAAATTTGATAATTAGTCTTTATATTTTGTCAATGTACCCTACTTTGCCTAATCCATTTCTTGGCACAAATAAACAGAAAACCAAAGATAAATAAGTAATAATGTAAAGGAGAAATTTATAACTTTTTTTTTTAAAAGATTAGTTCTTTGAAGTGCTACTTTATTTCTATAAAAAAAAAAAAAAAAAAAATGGAAAATAAAGTTGAGATTCTTTTATTAATTTTTTCCCCTAGCTACAGACAAAAATCATTCAAACTTCAAACATTTTTTTTAAAAGAATTTTTTTTTATAAGATATTTTGTTCTAATTTTATTACTTTGTCCACAACGACTTAAGAATTAATCTGTAAATACAATTGGTAAATTTGTTTATGCCATGTTTATTTATAATTAAAGAAAATATTTAATAACAGAACACTTAAATTATTACACAAATTCCCCAATATCTGTCTACACCTCTGAGATGATGTATTATGTTTACTTACATTATTCAGACTGTTATCTTGATCTTCATTGCCATATTCACATTTTGTCTGTTGTACACTCCAACCTTCTTCAGGTGATTGGAATTTCAAACTGAATCCTTTATTTCATCCACGGGGGTAGATTGTTCTAGTTCCACATGCCATGACTCTTCTGGATGTCTTGGTTATTTCCCTTTAACTCAAATTTGGTTCACCACTGCTGTGGCCTGGTATTGAACTCACTGGATCTAACCAACATCTTTATCCACTGGGCCATGAGTCCTTGAGGACATCTGTGTATGAATTTTGGGGAATTATAAACCTAATGTCTCTGCAACTAACTTTATTTTTTACCAGTGCTCATATTGCAATTTTTAATGTTATTCATTGCTTTTCTCAAGCACTCCTTATTACAAGTTCCCATATTGTATTCATATCTATGCTTGGTTGGCTCAGGAGATTTTTGTGGCCTAGCATATGTGCAGATTCCTTAAGTTTTTGTATTTTCCAGTGATGCTCATCCCACAGGGGAGAGTGATCATCCATATAAAATTTCAATCACCTGAAGAAAGCCAGAATGTACAACAGCCAAAATGTTGTAAATATGGCAATGAAGATGAGGATAATAATTCTGAATAATGTAAATAATATAAGTAATCACAAATTCCCTATTTGAAATTTCATGAATCCTCTTATGAAAGACTTATGAATATTAACAATTTTATTTTTTTTATTTTTTATTTGTTTGAATGTCTTCATTTTAAGATAAAAGGAGGCAATTATTGCTGGATATTGAAAAAACCTAAAATCTTCAGTTTTCACTTGTTTTTAATCTTTGACAAGTTGCATTACTCTCACTTCTTCCTTCATGGTCCCGCAACTGCAATTGTTTCATAACAATTCTTTATGATTTTACTTAATATTTGGTCCTTTTGGGCAAAATCAATTGAAAATGCTTTTATTTTTAGGAACTAATATCAAATACAATATATAAACCAATCACACTCAAGAAAACACTTACACCTTAAAACACACCAATAAAATCATAGAATACAAATCAGAATTTTTGTTGTATTAGTCATCATTATTTTTAGGTAGATACTGACCAAATATCGTGTGGATGTAGTACAAGACATACCACATATGCCCTTTTAGGGCCAATTAGGAATAAATAAATAATTTAATTCTGGAGCCAATTTTGTTACAAAAAAGTGTATAAAAACATATGAAATCCGTTCCCAAAAAGGATACATGCAGCTGTCACCAAACTCTACGCAACTCTCGCTTATGATCTTCACAACGTCATACTAAAAGCAACAGCATTGACAAACTTCAGACTACGGCAACACCATCAACAGTAAGAAACAATTTCTAACTATCTCTTGTATCCGCCTTTACTATGAATCACGCACACACGTGTTAACTTTTTCATACAAACACACATATCACAATATTTTATTGTTTCTCACATACGTACACAAAGACAGTTTATATTTTATTTCAGAACTTTATTAACCCAAATAAAAAGACATTACTTTCCAATCTATCATCAACTGCTTGTATTCTTGTCATTATATTAAATTAATATTTATTTGTTGAAACTACATTTTTTTTCTACTGAATTTTATTCCTTCAATGAAAATCGTGTGATTATTCTAGACGGCCAAATTACGAGCAACCCTGTAATGATATTTTGTTAATGTATCGAATCCCGACATTCTAAATTTTAACATTCAACGAAAAACCAATTAGAAGGATCCCTACAAAGGAAAATAAAAGATGCATAGTGGTACCTGTGAATAAATTGGGTATTTATTAACACAACTGCACAACCATGATATCAGACCATCCATTTAATATTACCATAAGTTGCCGCTTATAAAACACATTTGTTTCCCTATAAAATATCTCCAAAAACCACCCTGTGTCCTATAAATCAAAGGTCAGTGACAGGAGTTAATTTCACTTCTAATTATTACATTCTAAATAGTTAATATAAATTTAGTATTTCTTCTTGGTCTGTGATGAATTTAGGTTTATATGCTGAAATATGCTATTCAGGGGGTAAAATTGGGGATAGTGGAGAGGGCTAAAAGTACAAGGAGAAAACATTTTTTCCAAATTTTTCCTTCAAAATTTTTGGGGGCACCTAATGCATCAAAGTGACAGTAAAATACAGTAATGAAAGATTGGCCTACCTAGAGCAACTGCACTTTAGTCCCTTTCATAGTAACCCATTTAAGATTTCATATACTTGTTTCAGCATGTCCTTTACTTTTCCAGACAGTGTGCTAAGTCCTCTTTAGGGACTACCATTAACTGTTTCAACACATTCTCCTTAATTTCATCTATAGTCTAAAATGTTATCCCATTTGATGGTAAGTTTAGCTTTGGCTTAAACCAAAAGTTACAGGTAACCAAATCTGAACTGTTAAGAGGTTTACTGATCACTTTTAACATTAAAAAGAGTGGAGGCTGGTCAAGAAATTAAAAATGGCTAGATACATCCCAGTCTGGAGAACCCTTCGATCTTCTGATTCTCACAGGTGCAATTTTTCTTCTATTACAGTGCACATGCATTCAACATATTAAAGTATTCAGTTTGTTGCAGGCCTTCCAGAACATGGATTCCTTTAAACAGGTTCCCAGTGTTTTCACTGCCAAACCTATCAGTGCTTCATTTTTTAATTATTCAAATCATGTCCAAGTTTCCAGCAAACTTGGATGCATATTGATAGTGCATGCAATGGTCACACAGTATACAAACCCACTCAATAAAATCTTACTGCCAACTGAGGAAGCTTATCAGGAGAGTAACATTTCCTCTGGTTGCCAATTTATATCAAATCCAAACAAATGATTCCAAGGATTTTCACTTTGTAGACAGACCACATAACTTCATAAAATCTTTTTATATTGTAAAGAAAATACTTACCATGTATTCTATATCATCAACACCAAAGCGCTCTCTTAGGTTTCGAAACACCATTGGGCAGTATTCCTTTACCTTGAAATGACTTGGCATATTCTCTCTACAAAGAAAAAAAAAAAAAACCCAGAAATATGTGGGTTAAGAAAGTTTTCTCATTCAATATTTTACAAGTTAAATACTTTTAGTACATATCAATAAACACATTCTAGATACAATTTTGATATTATCATCAAACCCATGACTCCTTCAATTGTTCACTGGGGTAACTGAAGGCTGAAAAATCAGACTGATTCATTTTCCTCGTGATCCTTTCAGTGGGCTATCAGATAGAGAGGAGATGAGCGCCGCCAAGCTAAGATCTTGACCAACAACTGAAGACCATGGAATATGGTGTGGGTCGCCCTCAGTCCATACACTAGGCCAGTGGTTCCCAAACAGTGTGGCATACCTCATAGGTGTAGTGGAAGAGGATAGCAGGTGGGGTGAAATTATTGAAAGAAAAAGATTTAGAAACAGTTTCAAAAAATTCATATGCCAAAAATAAATATGATTTCAAAATTTAAAATATTATTATGGATTACTTGTAACTGCAAGCATGAGTCAAAGTATAAATAGTTACAAATAATTATTGACCAATTTTATCATTGTGATATTTTTGCATTATATCAAGTATTAAGAATATAGTAACTAGGGTCCACAGATTGGAGGGGAGAGTTATCAATGATAATGTTCTGACTTTGAATCTACAGTTATCTCCCTTTAACCCTCTCTCTGTTTTTTTATTTTTAAGTGTACTTTTTATCACATAAAATTTGGTGAGGTACAAGCAAATTTTAATTCCAAAAATGTGACCCAGAGGGAAAAAAAAAAGGTTTTGGAACCACTGCAGTAGGCCCCCAGGTTTTGAATTCAGAGTTGTCCTACTAGGTCAGTTGTCAGCCAAGGCTATAGGACCCAGTCCATCCTTCAATTTCCCCCACAGCTAAAGCGGGGAAAGAAAAGATGGATATACCTTTCCTAAGGGTATCAATATGTAATTGAATGTAATGAACCTGCCTGGTATTTAAACTTGGCTCTCTGATTCCTCAATTTGAGTTCTTATACATTACTCTACCAGCCTCCTAGCTTGATATTATGTCATATACAAAACAAACAAAATGAATTATGTCTTAAATACAATAATGTTTCACAGTAATTTTTTTTAAATCAATTCACCCCAAGCAAGGTGATAATGCCACTAAAATGCAAGGGACTACTGGGAGTGAAATTAAACTAAATTTAATTAAATTTCATTCTAAGCAATTACTTCAAGAATGTGTAAATCTTTACAGATGTGCTGCAAGTTCTTGACAAGAGACATAAATATATTTTATACATTCTCCAACAAATATCCAACTCCTCATTCAACAATTCTTCTTCTATGTGCTGTGACTGTTCAGGACATTAGTGATCATTGCTCTCCACAATTTCCTGTCCTTTGTAGCTCTTAATAAATTTTATATTGTTTCACCATCCACATATTCAAGCTCAGTAGGATGCTTATGCATTCTTTTTCTCTGTCCCTTTTGCCTTCAATCTGTTCTGTGAATATCACATTTTCAAGGACGGAAAAAACATCACATATTCTCGAATAGTTAATATCTAATCTAAGAAAACAAGGTATAAACAATAAATCTGAATTTGGTTCACAATTCCCATTATTTTGATATCTTTTTAGAAGCCCAACAATGGAAACTCTTGGTCAACAGAAATCATTAAGTAAGACTGAACTTCTTAACTGATTAACTTCAGAAATTTATGTCATCCACAACTGGACCATAGAATTGCAAGCAAGGAAATTCCTGTCCCCTGCAATTAATATACTAATTACAATAATTGCATTTGAATACGCAGGGATGATGACAACTTTCTGATCAATGCAAAACTGAAACCGGAGATGTCAACTTCTATTTTAGGCTTTCATAAATTTCTATGATGTATTATGTTTTTAGACATGAAAGCAAAGATCAAATTTCAAGAACATGCTACAGGAATGCAGGTCACTTATAATGTAAACATGTTTATAAAATATCTCATATGTTCAATGTAGATCAGAAAATACTTTTTTGTTGTTTAAAAGGAAAACGCCTCATGAATTATTTTGGAGACAAAAACGTGGGCGAGGTGGTTAAACAAAATCATTCAATGTAAAGTTTATTTGACTTAAGAGAAAGATTTGTTGTATCTGAATCAGGAAAACAATTAAGTTTAATGATAAATTTTATATTTGATTTTTTTCTATTTGTTGTATCTATCTATCTATCTATATCTATATATATATATATATATATATATATATATATAATAGTGGACACTGAGGTTAAAACCCAGCATCAACAGTCCATTTCATGCTTAAATGCAATCATCAAGCCTGATGATTTCGTTCAAGCATAAAACACTGCCGGCACTGAGTGTTGTCCTCGATGTTCACTTTCATATTTATATATACGCTATCACTGATATCAAGTACTTTAACCCATAAATATTGCATACCTTAAAAATATTTTTATATTATATATTTATATATATATATATATATATATATATATATATATATATATTTTATATATAAATTATGCAACAGAGAAGATATGTATACTAAAATAACATTTTCATTAGATTTTACTATTTTATGATCAACACTGTAAAAATAATAAAAAAATAAAATAAAATAACATGATATACAAAAGAATTATCATATTATATACATGTAAATTAAAGGGGTAGAGATGATTTCTTTAATATTTAGTGTCTTAAGGATAATTAGAAAACAGTGGCTTATTGCTTTTTACACACTCTGTTTGAGATTCATTTTCATAACCACCAAAAAGTTTTTCTAAATTACATTTTTCTTCCTTAAATAATTTTATCTGTAGAGACAATGGCTTTCTATTGAAGATGTAATTGAATAAGCAAATGAGTAATTGAAAACAAAATTTTAAAAAAAGAAATATTAATATTTTCATTTTGTGCTCAAAAACGCACCTGCATGCTAATATTATTGGCAAATATTGTGCAGTAACATAAGAGATATTATTAATATTTGCAAGGAATTCTAAAAATAATAAAAAAAACTTTTATCCCAACAACAGTATTTTAAAATATTAACTCATATGAGGATTATTTATACAATATCACTATCAATGTCATGAATATTTGAAAAATAAAAATAAAATAAAGAAATATATTAACATATTAAAAACATATCAAATAAAGAACCATTTTAGTCGTTCATCAATGACTAAATAAGTTGTAGTTTAATAATAAGAACACAAAATAGCTTCTTATTGTTTTACAGTTGATATCTATACAAAGTATATAATATAAATACTAGTAACCATGGCACTGGTTTGAAATCTATTTACAGTAATGTATATCACTAAACAAGTGAAACCAAATCTTAACATTGTCTGCCACCAGTAGGATACACCATCATAGAACCAAAATTGCAGAACAGCCTTATATTAGAGAATCATTTAATTATAGAACATTTTGTATTTAAACTACTAATATTTAAATCACACTTTTTAATATTATTTTTAATAAAGACTATCTAGAGATACAGAAATCGATTATCTCCCTTTGGTGAAGATAAGTCACATGGGCCCCATGACAGTCACTTAGTGATATCACTCTATACAATGAAAAAAGCAGCAGTTATTCAGATTGTTTACAGCAACCAAACCTAGAGGTAGCTTTCTTTTAGCCTGGGATAAATCTACCTCCCCAGCAGCTTACAAGCAAATGATGCCATTTCCCTTTGAGAATATATCTTCCCCAAGTATAGAAAAGAAACTTCAGCTCACAGTCCTCAATTTGGGAAAGCACAAAACTTGCTATTTCCCCCGTTCATGGAATATGTCTTCACCTGGGACATAGTAGATGAATCCAGCCCATTTAAATCTATCAGCCTAAACATGGCTTCTCCAGACACAGGAGTATCTCCATATTACATGTAAGATCCACCCTTTTTGTTTCTCCTTACACTCTGCTTTGCTGTATAGACATGTTATTTTTTCTGTATAGGACATGTGCATATGTAGATATAGATTTGTGTATGTCTTAATAGCATAAAAGTTTTTCTGAGAATAAAGCATGTTTATCATTCCTTTATTTTTCAGCCACTCTATTCCGTCCATGAAATACGGTGTTATTATATCACAGATATAATACTCATAATGGGAAGAAAACAAATGGGAGAATAAATCTTGCATCTCTATCTCTCCTGTTACAGTTATATTTATTCTCCCTTACATCAGAGATACAAAGTGGAAAAAGAATGTCTGAACAAAAACAAAGACAGCGGTTAAAGTAATGCAAAAGACCATTTCTATAACAAATAGAGGCTACAAAGGTGCCAAGAGACTAATAGCTAAAACAATAAATATTGCCAGACAGTTATGCAATATGGCCACCCTGTGGTGAGAGAGCAGTTGGGAAGCACTCAGCATTACAAAAATCAATGTAAGATAGCTGACAAGTCTCTACAAAGATAAAATTAAACTAGAATATCCCCAAAAGATTTCGAACAACAGGTGCAAAGAGTTAAGGATAATTTAAATCAAACCAAACAAATATAACCAGAATCATTAATAAACCCTCGGCTCAACTTCTTACTCGTAAAATATACTTTTTTTTTCATGCCAATCATTGTTTGGAAGAGAAAACACTGAAATGCAAATGAACAAAGCAAATTGCATCTGTTACAATGCTCCATAAGCCTGAATAAAATGGTGTAAAGTTGCTTTAATGTTTTAGTATTTTCTCATCAGTTCAGTAAATTAAAAAGGATTTTAGTGCAATTTCAGAAACTTTTAAAATAGGTGATCTGGTTAGTTTATCAAGAGTACCTATTAAAAAAGTGAATATATGATGAAAAATGAGACTTATTTCCTAAGTTAAACTAAAAAGAGCAATTAACCAATGAGCTGTCTTTTACAAATTTTTGGTTCATTAACTATAATTTTAATTTTATCTGTTTATGATGGTGTCGGAAAAAAGCCAGCAAGATATCAATTCATAAGATTATTTTAAGTGTTAATAATTTTAGTATTTTTATGG